CTCGGGATCCCAAACATTTCTATAAACTTTTTGAATAAAATTTATAATTTTTAAATCTGTAAGAAATCTAAAAAAAAAAACGAATTAGTGTTTGATGTATCATAATTAACGACTGCAAATGAAAAAGATAGTAGAAATCTAAATACTATTGATGAATCAACATTACACAATAGTGAAGCAGTTTGCCAAGAAAGTAACACGCCAATATTAAATTTTGAAGTATTGAATTAAAGATAAGGACAACAAACCAACTGAAAGTTCAAATAGCGCATTAGTTGCAAGTATAACTTCTCGAGAGCCTAATAAACTTATCAACGATGTTCCGGCTTATTGGAAGATAAATGAAGAAACGATAACTGAAATATGTCGTCGTTGTTTTAACCAAAACAAAATATTGATTTTTCTGTGTCCAAGCGGCTTATCTACGATCGTAATCGATATTTAAGTAATTCAATTTTTTCAAGAACCATGATTAACGGTCAAGTGCAACAGCGTTCGTGGGTAATTTATTCATTAAGTGCCAATGATATTTTTTGTGGCCCATGCAAGTTATTTGGCGAATCACAGCCGTTAACTGCAGGCTATTCTGACTGAAGTAATGTGAATCAACGTAATAAAGAGCACGAAGAATCTTGCGCTCATAAAACAAACGTGATTACATTTTCAAATAGAAGTAAAGTAACAAATACAGTAAATAATTTTTTGAAAATCCAAATGGAAACCGAGATAAATTGTTGGCGTAATGTTTTACGGCGCGTTATTGCTGTGATAAAATCATTAGCATCGAGAGGTTTAGCTTTTAGAAAAAAACATGAATTATTTGGATCTCTTGATAACGGCAATCATATGATGCTTTTAGAGCTTATAGCTGAGTTTGACCTTTTTCTTAAGAATCATGTAGAGTCACGTGGTAATCCAGGAAGTGTAAAAATTTCTTATCTATCATCAACTATTTGTGAAGAAATAATAAACTTGATGGCTGAACATTTGTTAAAAAAAATAGTTGATGAGGTAAAAAAAGCAAAATATTTTTTAATAAGCGTTGATTCCCAACCTGACATCTCATATACTGATCAACTCACATTCATTCTACGATACGTTGATACAACAGGCACACCAAAAGAAAGATTTATCAAATTTATATCAGACTGTGAGCATAAATCTAAGGACTTGGCGGAAACTGTTTTAAGTACCACACGAGAACTTGATTTGGATTATCAAAATTGTAGAAGTCAATCGTACGACAACGCAAGTAATATGTCAGGTGCTTACTCAGGATTACAATCTCGCATTAAAAAAAAGTCAACCCATTGGCTGAATATATTCCGTGTGCAGCGCACTCTTTCAATTTAGTTGGTTCATGTGTCGTCGAATCTTGCTCTATGGCAGCTCAATTTTTTTCTGTTGTGCAACATCTACATACATTTTTTTCCGCTTTCACGCATAGATGGAAAGTTTTAACGTCACAAATAAAAATGACAGTGAAAAATCTCTCTTCAACAACATGGTCAGCTAGACACGATGCTTGCAAAGCATTCTTGGACAGATATTTTAAAAGTACTATCTGAATTATCCGTGAGCGAGAATGAAAACGCCGACACGCGATGCGAAGCATCTCGAATCCACACTTCACTCAAATCTTTAGAATATTGTTTTCTATCTCTTGTTTGGAGTGACATCTTAAATAGATTTAATGCTGTGAGTAAACAATTACAATCACTGACTACATCATTATCGTCAGCTGCAGATTTATACCAATCGTTGATTGAATTTCTTATTAAATTGAGATTTGATGAAGTTTTTAAAACATATGAACGTAAAGCTATAGACAAATGTGGAATGGACCAGTATAAATCGTAAAAAAAAATGCAAAAACGTAAGGTTCCATTTAACGAGAAAAAAAAGGCGATACTCTCTTTTCTGCGAGCAATAATATGCTCATTGATGTGTATTCAATGATTTTAGAAGCATTAAAAACCAATTTAGATGAATACCTTGCAGCATACGTAAAAATAAATAACTGGTTTTCGTTTTTGACTAAGCTGCATGTCTTAAATACCTATAAAATAGAACGAAAGACCACTAATCTGATAAATGTTTACCACAAGACTTGAAATCATTGTTGAGTGTGGAATTTATTCGTTTTGGATCTTACTTGAAAACAAAAAAAATAGGATTTCTGTCCTTTCGAACTATGTAAATTGATGCATGATAATAATTTAATTGATATTTACTCTAACGTGTATATTGCACTATGTACGTATTTAAGCGTAATAATTAGTAATTGTACAGGTGACACATCGTCTTCAGTACTCCACAGAATAAAATACTGTTTAAGAGCTAGTGTTACGTAACAAGCTTCGGAGACTCTCATGTAGATGGGGAGCAGATAATTCCGATTTATTAAATAAATGGATCAATAAATCCGAAATATTGCAGTAAAATGCTTCACCAAAAAGGTGGAGTAGGGTTCGAGCCCATCAACTAAGAATTCACGAGACTTTAAGCTGACCGCTCAGCCACGACCACTGGGAGGGGCTGTATTAATTGCACTCTTAGAGGCACTACTGTGTCCTCAGCTATACGTTTGGTTTGCCAACACACAGGTGCTGGCTTCACTGAACCAAGCCACGTCCATGACACCTCCCCAGTTAATGAGTCATCGTCCCCGATGACACCTCTTTCTACGTCACCTGCTGAGTTTTATTTCCCTGGATTCGACAACTGTTTATGAGTCTTTGCGTGCATATATCTTAGTGTCGCTCGACAGGCTATATATACATGTGGCATCGTCGTACTGTCTTTACACCTCAATATCGTTCTATGACAAAATAGTTTCATTAGTGTACCGACTGACCAGGAGATGTAGTTATTTATCGGCCACCGGAGATAATGAAGATTTCTCCTGAGTTGGTGATGAAAGTATCAAGCACACATCAAAGTTAACTTTTTGCGCAAATTACCCACTCGATTGCCTTAGGTGATATTCCAATGCTATATTCAACTGACTTCTGATACCAAATTACGCTTATTATGAAACAAGCTTTGGGGATTCTCGAGTAGATGGAGAGCAAGTAATTCTGATTTATTAAATATATACATTGGAGAGTCCGAAATATTGTAGTTAAATGCTCTGCCAACAAGGTGGAACAGGGGCTCGAACCCGTCAACTAAGGATTCACGAAACTTTACGCTGACTGCTCAGCCATGACCGCTACAAGGAGCGACTGTATTAAGGAGGCTTGGGCGTTTGGTGTCATATCTACTGAGGGGCCCTTGTGGGGTACTTATCATGCAAATAATTATTTGTATTTTTTTTTCACCGTTACATGTATCATGTAAGTGTGTCAACATGATATTAATAATACGCGGAAAAGTCACTGGGAAATAGATATTAAAAAAATCATTAGTTTTTCTGAGGTACCTTGTGTGAAGATGATGGCCCTGCCACGATAATACTGACAACACCGTACTCTCTCGCTCTCATCTGCTGTTATATACCTATACTCACGTTGGACTTAAATCTTGATGCTTGTATGTTTGTGTATGTACAGCGCATGCGTATGTACAATACCTGAACAAAACAATTCTTACATTCAAAGTTTTCCTCACTGTTTTCTCAAAATTTAACGTGTTAAGGATATCTTTTTTTTTAAGTAATAGATTCCTTATGATTAAAAGTATATGAATCAATTCGACTTCTGGTCTCACAGCTTTTTATTGTAGTACAATAGTCTATTTAATTTCGGGTTATATAAGGTTATGTGTTAAAATGACGAATTTTCACAAGCAATTTTTTTGAAAATGAATGTCTTGACCTTCTTGACCTACCTATTTCGTTTTTATAAAAAAATCTGGCGTACTTTATTCACATAATCTCTGAATTTTAGAGCATTAAAAATGTTATCTTTAGAAAATATTCACTAAACTGTCTTAGTCAGATTTTTAACAATTAATTTTACTACGAGATAATCATATGTATAAAAGTATGTATTTGAGAAAAAGTTAAGCGAAAAATAAATTTAATTGTTACGAACAAATAATCTTGCTTAATTTATGTTTAAAGAGAAGTTCCTTACATAAAACGTTTAAGTTATGTATAAAAGACAATTTCACGTGATAGCCACCCCCCTGTGAGCTTTGCCATCCCTACGCTATGACGTTGTTGGCGTAGGCCATATATAGTCCGCCTCTGAATTCCAGAAGCTATTATAAAGCTTAATCAACATTATTTTTACTTAAAATGCTTTGAATCATTAATAAAAATGTTTCAAAATGATTAATTTTTGCTAATATTAAAGAAATACAAATTTTCCGAAGCTCCACACCAAAAGAGAATGAATAACAATTCGCTATAAAGAACACGGGCTTGTAAAAGTATAGCTCAAAGAATTCAATCGTACAGAAATAGAAAAATGATGATTGAAGTCATTTGATGTAATAATAATCTCAATTGAGCTTAGCAATATAGCTGCTGGAATGGCAATAAAAACAAAGTTTGTACTTCATATATATATGCAATGAAGAAAATACAAAATTATCTTGACTTATTTAAATGCTACTACATTGTTATTTTTAAAATGCTTCACTAGTCAAATTGTAATGAGAAAGATATCATTTAAGTTTGAACGCTGATGTATAAAATCATAATAGATAATCCTTCAAAATATTGACAGCACACTTGTGATAGTAATTGTTATGAATAGATTAACGTGTGTAATAGATTAAACACAGAACTAATATTAAATTCTTAGCAGTATTTTTTACTATTATGCAGTGACTGCCGTGTTTTTTGCACAAGGGTGCAGTACCTTAGCCTACGTAAAAAGTCAAAAATATTTTTTATTATTAGTTTTTGAAACTCATGATTTAGTCCACTAAATAATATTAAATCGTAGCAAAAATTTTTGAAAGACATGGAAAAAGACTCTATGATTTTCTCTATTTGTATCAACCATTCTCAACATAATAAAAACTAACTATTTTTGTTGACTCTTTAGCAAAGTTTATGCCAGACCAGCCAGCTGCTCCACCAACGATGTATCAGTACCCACCACCTCCACCTCCTCCACCAGCTGGAGCTCATACTGGACCTCAGTCAGCTCCCGCCGCCTTCGTTCAACCTATTAACAACTTAATACTTTAGGTAAAATATAAAGTGTCACAACAGTAATTTTGGTAGTTGCGTTATGGACGTCTTCGCTCTTTCGACCACTGTCATCTTCAGTTGTTTATCAGCAGATTGAAACTACTAAAACCTTAAAATTACTCATCAAAATAACCCTACTTTTTACAGTAAATACTTCCATTACTTCTCCCACTATTACTACTACTACTACTACTACTACTACTACTACTACTACTACTACTACTACTACTACTACTACTACTACTACTACTACTACTACTACTACTACTACTACTACTACTGTTACTACTACTACTACTACTACTACTACTACTACTACTACTACTACTACTACTACTACTACTACTACTACTACTACTACTACTACTACTACTACTACTACTACTACTAATACTGCTGCAACTTCTACTACTGTTACTACTACTACTACTACTACTACAACAACAATTACTACTTCTACTACTACTAATCCTACTACTTCTACTACTACTACTACTACTACTACTACTACTGCTACTATTATTACCACTACCACTATGGCTGCGACTGCTACTACTGGTACTACTACTACTACCTCTCTTACTACTACCCTACTATTTTCACTACTATTACCTTACTTCTACTACCACTGCGTTATTTTATCTACTTCTACCACTACTCCGCTAGTACTACTTCTTCTGACATTTAATGAGTTTCTATTTGTTATTATGATTGTTGTAATGAGAATAAAAAGAGATAAAAAATATTGTTGTACCGTTATAACAAAATATACACCTCTTTGATCATTTGTGATTACTTGATTTTATTGAATAAATGGGTCTCGAAGGTCTTTACCATGAAAAACAGCCTTAGTTTTATGAAACTTTGTCAAACGCTCACGTTTGATCAAACTTCAGCCAATTAGAGGCGATTTAAAAAAAACTTTTATATGAGTTTTGTCTTAACCAATGTTAAATGTAAGTTAAGTTTTTTATAGATTAAAGTTTAGCAGATGTTTATCCAAACTTCACATTATGAATGGCCAAAGTTTCGCTTAATAATTATGATGATAAGAAATATTGAAAAATTTATTAAGATAAAAGTTCCAACTTGTATAACTCCTGACATTTATAATATGTTTTTATAATACAATACTTTCAAAAAAAATCTGGCCAGTGTAATTGAACCTCAGCCACCAATAATCCATTTACAAGACAAGCACACTTCACAACTTGGCTCCGATGATGTAAGTACGATTACACAAATCACCTATACATATCTTACCAATACTATGATTTTTTTTTCAAAATTATATGTTCCATAATTTTTCCAAAACTTTCTTAATTCAAATGTATTTAGTTCAATTTAATAATACCTATGTAAAAAAGTACACAGTGCATCACATTGATTGATTAAGCATGACTAAAAAGTTTAGGGGAAACTATACGCGGGACAACGCACTAAGAAAATTATTCCTCTAATAAGTATTGTAATCTCAATAACTGCACATTCAGATTATAATAGATCAGTTTTTATTCCCTTTATTAACTCGAAGAATATTCATAAATTCATAAATTAATTTTCAACAACATGAGTTTGTTGTAGGATGTAGCATTATTTAAACACTCTTTTCTGGTAGCTGTAAATATTAAATTATTCATGTATTTATTATGATTATTTTTTTTTATTACCCGTATAAAACTTACATTTTTTCTCACTACATATATTCATCACATACTTTTTGCTTTTTTTCAACGCGTGAAATCAATCCAATTCTTTCTTGATTTAAATAATAAAGTAACAAGCTGAACTGAGATAATATGAAAATAATTGATAACAACTTAAGTAAGGAATCGTTTAGTATCGATACAATTTACAATAAATTTTGAAGTACAACACGTAAAAAAAAATCCAGATTAGGATCGAATTTCTGCTACTGAATATCTGAATGCATTACAAGCAAGCTCAATCACTTAGCTACAAAGTAGTTGTACGCACAGTGACATGAATCACCTAAACATCAAATAGATATTAAGTCTTTTTCCTTGAAAATCCACTTTTATAAAATTTAACATATCGTTTTTCAAAAATCATCATTATTCAAATGCATTCGGTTAAAATAAATAACATGGAAACGATATAAAGATTATAATACAGTTGTCAAACTTATAACTTTTTCTGTTCATTACTTAAACATTTATTATATAAGTGTGCTTGATAACTTGTTACTTTATTATTTAAATCAAGAAAGAATTGGATTGATTTCACGCGTTGAAAAAAAGCAAAAAGTATGTGATGAATATATGTAGTGAGAAAAAATGTAAGTTTTATACGGGTAATAAAAAAAAATAATCATAATAAGTTCATCATATAAGTTCAGCTTAAAATTGGCCTCGTGGATCGTAAAGTTTTGATAAATAATTGTTAAACTTAATTTAAACATTGGTTAAGCAAAAACTAAAGTTTGGGAATAGCTCATTACTTTATTGGCTACAGTTTAACCAAAAGCGAGCTTTTGTCAAAATTTGGCAAAACTTATGAATTTTTTTGCAGTTATTTATATTTTTAAATAACGACATACTATGTGCATGCGATAGAAACAATGTAAAGTAGACAATTAACTATAAGGGTAAGTAGGGCTTGACTTACATGACGATACTAAGGCTGCGAAGAGAGCCCTTTAAGTTATAAGATAACTGTTTTTTAACACAGCTCAAATATAAGTTATGATTACAATCATTCCTACAGTGGTCTTTTATTCGAAGAAATGGTTGTAGTCTTGTTAATAGAAATATTAAGGCAGGGTGCTTTTTGTATTATTGATGTCAGACCAAGACTCTACCTTTATACTGGCTTAATATTATTCTTAGCACATTGAAAGTATAACGATACATGATTCAGACCTTAAGGTAGCTTGGATGGTTGGTGTCGTACATACTTTAGGGTGCCATAGGGGCCCGTTATCAAATAATCGTATTTTGATGGTTAATTTTTTTAGAGATACCTTGTTCATCATAAAAACTGCAAACAAGATAAGGAAGTTGACAGAAAAGTGTAGGAAAATAGTAATTATAAAAAAGTCATAGATTTTTCTGAGATACCTAGTATAAAAATGACGTTACTGGCATATGCACTCTTACAGAAAGAGTTAAAGCAGAAAAGAAAAAATTGACATTTTATTTCCTGCTTTTCTTCCAATTTTCTCTGAATGAAAGTCGTTAACCCCATATTTTTCAGAACTCAATTAATGCTTCAGAAAAAAGTACATAATCATAATTTTCTGTTTCTCAGCTTTATCATTTACTTCTGAAGCTAAAGTCAATTTTCTGACGTCTCCCATAAAACTAAAAGTTAAAGTGGCAAGCTTAAGTTGCAACTTGCTTGATAATGAAATGGTTAACTGTATAGTTTTCTTATCACAAATGAATTCAGCATACTTCATTTGAATGATATCTAAATTTCAGAGGTTTTTATCATTCTAATAAAAACCACCCAAGCCACCTTAATTTGACGAAATAATATTCACTGCTACAAGCTACATAAGTTATGGTTACAATTGCATTGTCGAATCTTCAACACGTAGGTTTTTTTTCACGAGCCACCACAAGTGTGGATATCAAATGCCATTTGCTTTACGTGTACACGAGTTATTTAATACAAAAATAAATAAGTATTAACGTTACCCAAGCAGATGCAAGTAAATATTTTGCATTGTCTGCGCATGTCTGCTTTTGTTAACTCTTGTAGGACCTCACGATTTGAACACTTATTCAACAAAATGCAAATGATCTGCAAACGAAATGAGGATTGTTTGTCTCAAAATTTCAGAGCAGCAATTGTAACAATGTAATAAGTTATCAGTTAAGGAAGAACGAGCAAGTGATTATAAAAGTAACTACTATTACCATCTCGATTACCAAATGTGGCATACTAGTAGCTAAAATTGTTGTCATTACTTACGAAAACTAGATGACAAGCTACTCATTTAAAAAGAAATTTTTGATTAAAAAAATTATGCTAAGGAAGACATACCTCCAAACGCCTAATTGTTTAAAATCTTGTTATGTATCAAAGACCCTAATAAAGTAGTAAGTACCAACTATTTCATGTATAACATACAATATAGGTCTTTCATAATGATTCTTGTCATTTAAGAAATGAAATCAGAACTATGTCTCTGAATACATATGAAAACAATGATGTAATAAAGCGCATTAATTGAAAAACATGTAAATATACACAAAATAATATCACAGTGTCATTTTAGCAGTTATAATTACTGTAAAATATTTATAAAGAGTTCTACCTTATCAAATAAATATAAGTATAGTTTTCAGATTGTAATCAAGTTCAATTTGTATTGGAAGAGACAGCATAACACTCAAAACTTTAAAAAATTGATTAATTTCAACTGTTTTATTTACTATTGCCATGTTATAGAGGCAATTTTTTACTTCTTATTTCCAGAATAGTAAAAAATTCAAAAAAATTTTTTTGCATTGTTAATACTTATGGTTATTAGTATTTATTCCAAAAGTGTATACTTTTTTTATTTAAAACTATAATCATAATTGATTGTAATTATGGTGTAAATTATGAATCCAAGAGTTGTAAGATTTACTTGATTCTAAATAAGTTGAATGAAAAAGTGATTTTAATGACGGCTTCGAAAGGCAAGCAAGTATCGTAAGAAATATTTCCAGTAGGATTTTAAGCATAAGAGTTAGTCAAATTAATGTGATCTTGTATGCTTACGTTAAATAATACCATAATTATTATCAATTAAAAATCTTTTTCATCGTACATGAACGAGTTATTAAAATTAAGAAATTTCAGTGTGTTGATTGCTAAAATAAATAAATGTAATTGTTGCTCTTTCTTAGTTAGTTTATACGAAAGAATCATAATGTATAACAATTGCTGTAAAGTTTCCTAATTGAAAGGAGATATGTGCTGCAACAAGCCACTTATAAGCCACTGTGAAAAAACTTTATTTAAATAAACACACCATACAAGAATACAATAGTTAAGGTTTTTGTCTCTTAAGCCTGGTCTGTCTTTCCTGTAGTCAAAAAAAAAAAAAAACAAAAAAAACAAAAAAACAAAAAAACAAAAAAAAAAGCAATAAAAAAGAAGCAGTAGTAATATGAAGTAAAATGATTAATAATTTAGTATTTGTCTCTTAATTTACAATATAATGGTTCGTTACAAATTCAGTATTTTATAAGCTTATATTTTTTCGTATAAGTATCGTTCAAAAAAATTCAA